AGATTTGCCACAAAAAGAATTAACATTTATACACTAATCATAATTTTCTCTCCTACATGATCCATTTCATAATAAACACATATTCTNTTCTCTCAAAAGATCATAATATATAACACATGACACATTAAAATCTTAAAAACAGAAATAAATACCGCGCACACACACATAAGAAATCATTACATCAATGATCTTATTATATAAAAGAGAATACGCATGATGAAAACGCCACACGTAAGCAAAATTATAACCCACCAGAATACGACAAATGTAACTGTTAATTTAGATTGTAACATGTGTCAATATTAACAAAAATTTAAATGTTCTGCACCGAATTGTCATTCTGCACCGCATTGTTATTTTTCAGAGTCTAGCTATGATTGGGAGACAAAAGCGGATGCAACACCAATCAACAATTTTAGTCCAAATACACATTTTTTAATAAAAGAAAAAAATTAAATTCGCATACAGTTTTCGAGACAGTGAGTAAAAAACCGCATTTCAATTTTATACAGCATGTAAGAGCAACTCCATCCGAGTCTCTCAATTTGAGATTCATGTTAAAAAAATAAATAAATATTTGTAAAATGAAGAGAGAAAAACCATAGTTTCTTAAATCAGCAATTTGAGAGACGTTTGTTAACGTTTTTGTGAACTTCATTGCCATGTGTTTATATCATATTGGTTGTATGTGATTTTAGTTGTTTTAGATTTAAATAAATAATAAAATTATTTTAAAACTATTAAATGAGATACTTTCTCCAAGTATAACCGATGGAGATGGTCTAAGAACCCACGGTTCACTTTAAATCGGCAGTCAAATAGAAAATAAATAAGAAAAATTTACCTAGAATAACCTTTTTTTTTTTAAAATAGCTAAAATAATCTTACTATTTTTTTATTACCAAAATAACTTATTCTGAATTTTTTTTTTCATAATACCAAAATTGTCCTTCGCAGACTCTGCCGAGGTATTTGCAGACTCTGCCGAAACATTGGTAGACTCTGCCGAGGTATTGGCAGACTCTTCCGAGATATGGTAGATTCTGCCGAAATATTAGTAGACTCTACCGATATATTGGCAGACTCTACCGATATATTGGCATATTCTGCCAATATCTAGAAATACGCAGACTCTGCCGAAACATTGACAGACTCTGCCGAAACATTGGCAGACTCTGCTGAGATATGGTAGACTCTGCCGAAACATTGATAGACTCTACCGAGGTATTGACAGACTCTGCCGAAACATTGGCAGACTCTACCGAGATATGGTAAACTCTGCCGAAACATTGGTAGACTCTACCGATATATTGACATACTCTGCCAATACAACGGCAGAGACAGCTAATGTTTCAGAAGAGTCTGCCAATGTTTCGGTAGAATCTGCCAATATTTTGGAAGAGTCTGCCAATGTTCGGCAGAGTATGCGTATTTTTAGATATTTGCATAGACTGCCAATACATCGGTAGAGTCTACCAATGTTTCGGCAAAGTCTGTCAATACTTCGGCAGAATCTGTCAATAATTCGGCAGAGTCTGCCAATACTTCGACAGAATCTGCGAAGGACAATTTTGGTATTATGAAAAAAAAATCTAGAACAGGTTATTTCAGCAATAAAAAAATAGTAAGATTATTTAATCTATTTAACAAAAAAAAGTTATTCTACCTAATCTCCCAATAAATAATATGTAAAAAAAATTCACCTTTTTATAAAAAAGAATTTAGATCAATTTTTTTCTTTACACCAACTCTTTTTTCTTCTCTCGACCAACAAAAAAAATTGTTTTTTCCTCTCTTTTTTATTCAAC